TGCATTATGGCAAGCTATATTAAGTATTTTTTATTTTGAAATCGAATACATCAAAGGTAGTCAAAATTGCATCCCTCATTTCCTAACCAGAGAATTTCTGCAGGGGAAGAATGACAGCAAGAAGACCTGATCAGAGGAGGCTTCCAGCCACTCTACCACCACCACCAATCAAACAAGAATCAAGCCCAGATTCTTCATCGGCCTTAGCCATTACCAACCGATTCACTCCCTTAAGTTCCACAATAGGAAACCTTAGGCCAAACTACCAATCACCACATCCCAATTATCAAACTGCATTAGTCAGTCAAAATGTCCCTTATTCAACCCCAACATACCAATCATCATCATCCTAACCAATCGATTATACCAAAACATCATCATATGTCAAGAAAAACCCTAGTGAATATCTTTTTAGTCTCCCTTTCAATCTCAATCAAGAACAAGCACCAGAAAAATTAGCCAAAATAATCTTTTCACCCAATTTCCATTCTCATCCTACATAACCACATAAAACATTGAAATACTATCAAGCCATCCTCAGCGAAACTGAGTCCATTTCAATCAAACCTCTTTACAGCAAAACCCATGAAAACAAAATCTTCTACCATTCTCTTTACATTTAAAGGTTTTTAACCGAATCAGATTGAGGAATCCCTCTTTACAAAACCAAACCTCTTCATACCTAATATATTCATATTCCCAACAATCATTACAATTATTTTGATTACATTGATGCATGAACTAACATCTTTCTCCATCAAACAGAAGACTTTAGTCATTCATGGTTCATTAATTTTGACAAGAGTTTCATATTGAATTTTCATGCATGGTTCCCAAAATGGTGGTCAACTCACGGCCCAACAGCCAGTCTCCTACTAGAAGAACTTATACAGGTTCTCTCTGCCAGTTTCCAACAAAAATTTGACAAAAGCCGATTCAACTACAGAATTACACTTTTCCTAATATTCATGGCCAAGTATAAAGTCTCATGGATCTTGAAATGGAATTATAAAGTCGAAACATGTGAAGTTTACAGAGCTAGATCAGTCAAGTGGTGGGATAAATTCAACCATTAGAAGACCATCAGTCAGGTCCTCACCGAATTTCCCATTACTCCACTCCTAGTCATTCTGGAACACCCAGCACAACCATCACTGCCAGTCATCCAGGAACAATCATTATCAGACATTAGTTAGTCTTCGTCCTTTAAAGGAACAATCAAGTCTACCAAATCGTTAGGCTCAAAGAAAAATAAAGTCACTCAACTTGAAGATTTAGCACAACAATTACTTGTAGAAGCAACGATGCTCCAACTGAAGACAAAGAAGCCGCAGACTCCAAATCTTCAGACGCATCCTCACAGCAACCATCCAACTCAGCAAGCCAAAAAACACAGTTAGCTAAGTGGGTCGACTACCAGAATTCCCAGGACCCATTTGCTTAAAGCCATTTGAAAACTTCAGTCACCATATGAACATAATCATTTGCTATGTGAAGCATTCAGAAATTATTCTCACCAATGATTTTGATGGAGTCATTCATTCATTCATCCATCTCGTGCTTTCACAGTAATGGCATCAAATACTCTTTCACAGTAAAAGAAACAATTATTCCAACAAATTTCAATGTTCATCAATAGTGAAAGCAAGTCATCATTCATCAATAGTGAAAGCAAGTCTTCCAAGACATTTTCCAAGTCTTTAAGAAGTGAACTATGAATGAAAGGTTTCAAGTTTAGAATTTCCACAATTTCTCAATCAAAAGTTTCTTTGAGTTCACACTGTACCCAAAGAAATCAAAAATTGAAAACACTTTTCATTTTAGAATGTCAAGGATGCCTAAATGCACCAATATCCTTTTCATCAGTCATTTTCTTATTTGTTGACTTAATCGTCAATAAATCAAATGTAAGTTCCAATGTAAGTTTTGCAATAAAACTTATTTTCAAATTATATTTGCATCATTACTTTGAATTCATTATTTTCATTATGAAGAATTTTCATAACAAATAATTTTGAATGGCATAAAATTCTTACTCACAGTCAATTCATTGAATACCTCAGGTTCAAGGTAAACACCGATCAATCATTTGTTCAATTCTTCTTATTCATTTATAACAGCTGGTTCCATGGTATATTTAATCATGGTTATCCTCCACATCAAGTTCCACATAATTCAATTAACAATTCAATTAACAATTCATTTAACAGTTCATTCAACCCTAATCATCAATGCCCTTGGTATAATTGTCCTCATCGTTATTATTATCATTAGTTCCACCCTATTTGGTATGTGTGTGTAATATATATAATTGAGATGTCCCACAAATAAACTTATTTGAGGATCCCTTGTAGGGATCACACCACATTGTATTTCAACTACGCAATCGTCCATCTTTTCAAAGATCATCTCTACAAAACAATCATACAAGTCCCGAACTATTTGACCGTTGGATTAAATGGTAATCACTACAATTGGATTCCTTAATGGTTTGGGATTTATTTAATTTTTTTGCAAGAATAATCTATGAACAATACACTAAAACATAAACAATTTCGTTTGTTGAAAAAAGTTACAAAATGAGCGCCAAAAGAACAAAAAACAAAGGAGGAATTACGCACAACTTAATTTTGAAATCTTGGATACACTATAACCTATTTAACCTACTAGTTCTTCCTTGCACACGATGTGCAAACACAAGTATAAGTAGACCCTGTGCTATTTCATATTCCTTTTCAGATCTGTACATTCAATTCCTATTCTGTACCACTACTAGAAATTTGGCTAAAAGACACCCTTTTCATTGGTGTTTATTGTCAATTGTGGATACTCTCATTGGTGGCAAACCTCAATGGCCACCAAGCAGCCACTAAATTGGAGAACATGTCCTATGTAAAGGACTCTATTGTTACAAACACCACCAATTAGATAACGATGGCACAATGAATAGTTACACCTTTGAAATATTATATAATTTTTATACATCGGTGGCCATGTTGTAATATGTTTTTTGAAAAAAAAAGGGCCATTAATCTGGGCACGCAAATATATATATAGTTAATAGACTATACAGAATTGCAGTTTTGCTGTAATCTTCCATAACTAATCACATATTCAAAAAAAATCAGGTCTAAAACAAATGAGCTATACTAAAAAATATGAAACTATCCGTCAAAGTACGAAAGAGGCACCAAATTTGAAGGAAATTGCCACTCAAAAGACTTCACAATCTCTTGAACACCTCCAAACATGTTTTTTAAGAGTGACATGGTCCTCGTAATGCTTGAGCCTCAGTAATTGCTATCTCTACCTACAAACACATAAGCCCATGGATCAAATGACTAAAATACACAAAAAAGTATGCCTTTACAGTTTTATTGTTTCCTACAACTTGCATAAAAAGCATATACTTGCGAGTATAAGTCTCTAACATTCCACATGAAAAACTGTTGTGGCAAGTAGATCAATTTTTCAGCAAATAAATTCATGATTCTCAACATTTCACAAGTGATATACTTGTGAGTAGATAAATTTTTGACCAGTGGATATGGTTATCAATTATGACATCACAAAAACAATCTAAAGGTAAGACTCACTGTTTTGAACTAGTAGCTTGATGTTATCAATTTACATCAAAGTGAACCATTTATCTAATTTTTGGGTCTTAATATATTACAAATTCAACATCAATACAAGCACCAACAAATTTCAATTTGTTTTCATTTCTTTTTATTCCTTTTTGTTCAACCCAATCAACTTCCTTGAGAAATAAAACAAAAGGTAAAGAGAGAAAGAGAGAGTTCCCAACCTGGATCAACTTTGCCTTTTGGAAACTAGGCACTGGAAATAGAGATGGACTTGGTGAATATTGATAGACTTGGTGGCTCTGAAAGCTAAGTAATAAGATAAATTTGTTAAGTAATTTTATCATGCTCAGGTTTTTTTTGCTTCACAAGCTATACAATAAGGCCATAATAATCGCCCAAAATTAAAAGCAATTGAGAGCGAGATTGAGATAGAAAGGCACATATGTTACACTTTTATCGTATGAAATACAACTTGATATGTATACTCTTAACTGGAAGATTGAAAACCATGCTATAACCAAAATTGAAAAGAACAATAATGTCACAGAATGGGGAGACAAAGAAGGAAAAGAACATACTTTCCAGCTTCACCAAGTATACTCTTAAGGTTTTGCACTTAGTGATCCTCATCTAGGTTCTCTACCAAAACAGTGCACTATAATGCACAAATTAGATGCTTGAAGTTTCCGAAAAATAATACTTAAAAAAAATTAAAATCAAGTTCGAAAGGATACCTTTGGATCCCTATTTTCAGTTAATGGAAGGGGATGAATCCAAAGAATAACTAGAACTTACTAATATGAAAGATTCAAGATTGGGAGCTTCAACTTTAACTGTAATATCAGTTACCTTGTGGTTAAGGAGAAAATCACCCTGTTCACCTTAGTTTCACCCACAACATTCCAAGGCTTCCATTCTTCTCAGCCCAGGTTGGAAACAACCTTGGTTAACCTTCTTTGTCCCCAATCTTCGACATGCATAGAGAAAATGGAATTAAAATTCGAATCGATCCAAAAACTAAAAGTTTTTATTTTGAGAAATCACTTACAGTAGGGAATAGCCACGAGGAGAGGATCATTTTTACCTCTTGGGTTGAGGTCCAATTCCGGCAGACTTTGCCAAAAATTGGCCAGAAAACCCGCGGTCACTATTTCTTAGATCTGAAATTCAAGAAACTAACTTAAGGGTTGGAAAGAGGAAGGGAAGAGGATTTTGGAGGTATAATTTGATGGTCATTGGTGACCGAAGGATGGAGGCGCTGTTGCATGAAAGAGAAAAGGGAGAGAGAGGATACAGAAGGGAGGAGAGAGAGAATGAAGGGGAGGAGTTGGACTTTTGTGAAGGGGAGAGAGGTTAATTGTTTTTTTTATTTGTTTTATTGGTGCCCAATAAATTCTATTGGTGACCCATTTAATCACAAATGCACAAGAAATTATTTTTTAAGAAATAAAGCTATTTAACAGCCACCAATCATTGGTGTCATAATGTTGAAGGCCACCCATATCAGTGGCATCCCACTGTAAAGACACCAAAAAATAGTAAGAGTGAGTGCTTTATATCTACGGCCACCAATTGCAAATGGTGTGCAAAAAATGGTGTCCTATAAGCATAATTCTAGTAGTGTACAGATTTAAATTACTGCATGATCCTGTCTTCAAGAAGCAGTGCCTTTGGATTCCTGAATGTCCAATTCGTGTTCTGCTACCAAGACACATGAATCTGCTTCTAGAGATGATGAGACTGAATTGGGAGAATTGAGCATTTCAGTTGTGCATTGAACATCAGGTGCAATGCCAACCTGGTCTATGTCATGAAGCGCCGGAGATAAGTATTTGGCCACCGTGACAAATAAAGCTGATCCATCATGCAACTCTGTGACACTCTGCAGGAAGAAGCACGGGAAACAAGAAACACCATAGCCATTAGTTTGGTGCTTGATAACAATGGATTATAGGAAACCATGACAGATTCTTTGATGGTGATAGATTTAGAATAAGTGCAGCGGTGATCATATAAGGTGAGAATCGTGAGATACAAATTGCATGTAATTCGATCAGAGAAAAACAAGAGCTATGGTGCTTGCAGAGAAGAAAAACATCACAGCTACCTATGAAGTTTGCAATTGGAAATGGAGCTAAAGCATTTGGTAATATTTACGTTAGTTTGATTTAACCTTTCTGGTTGATGTAATTAGCTACATTAAAATTTCGTGCTTTAGAAGAACCGCTTACCTGGATTTTTCCTTTTCCGAAGGTTCTGTGCCCCACAAGAGTGGCTCGACGATTATCATGTAGTGCCCCTGCCAGAATCTCACTTGCACTCGCGCTGCCCTCGTTAACCTGTTCAAAACGTAGAAAATTGGAAGTGATTGTGATGATGATGCAAGAAGAAACAGTTAAATCTGTGGCATATTTGACAGTATACATATAATTCAAAACTTACAAGCACAACAAGTGGATCATGCGTTATAGCATGCCCATTGACCATGTTTATAGGTAACAAGTTCCCTTCTCGATCGATAGTATTCACTAGGGTTTCATCCCCATCTAGCCAAATTTGGGCAACGTCAAGTCCTGCTTTTACCAGTCCTCCCTGAAGAATTTAGTTGGAGGAAGAAGAAGAAAAACACAGCGACCGGCCATAAATTCCAAGCAGGCCAGTAAATGAACTATTACAAAGTTTCATTTATGTATATGAGAATAGAGAAGTTACCGGATTGTTTCGTAAATCCAGTATGTATGAGTGTACACCCTGCCTCTTCATTTCGTTAATAGCATTTTCCATATCAGCTGCAGCGGTCTGTCGAAATCGGATTAAAGCCTTTTAAACATAATGTATAGTATACTTAATTATACATATAACTACTCTAGTAAGATCTTTCTTCATACATACACACACACACACACACAAACACACACAAATACAGGTACATACAAATCTACATATAACTTCTTTTGTAAATGAAACAAAGTAACAATTAAACAACCAAATGCTTGACAAGTTTTTATGCTCCGAACCAATTTATTTATTTATTTTGTTTTATTGAAAATTTCTGCATTGTCAAGGGAACATATGAAATTAACAATTACCTGAGAAAATGCTGACAATTTCACATAACCTGTTTTGGTTAGACGTCCATCTGGGGTTTTATGAGGGATGGTAGCAGTTGAAATCGGGGAAAGCTTAATGTACTCACGAGGTAGTTTTACCTTCAAACAGATGGGTCATTTTTCAGATTGGTATACCAAAAAACCGTTGTTCAATTAAGTACAAGAATTTGCTTGACACTGACACAAAGAAACCAAATATGTTACACAATGAAACCAATATGATAGGTGGTCTACTACCTCTTTTATTCCAGAATCGCCTCTGATATCATTTCCCTGAGAAATAGAATGTGAATTTAGTAACGCAAAGCAATTTGCTAATGTCCGCTGCAACTTGAAAACAAAGAGAGTTGATTATTACTCTATGAACTTTTACTGTAACAGTTGTTCCAACTCGACCTCTAAGTTTCTGCACGGCTACTTCAGTCTCAATACCATCCATCTTCTCTCCTGAACATCAGGACAGTATTTGAAAAAATGAAAAAGCGAGTTGAAATGTAAACAAAGAACATTAAAAAGTTAACATTTTGGAATAGATTCTCTTGATTAAGGAACATCTTGTGTTGAAAACCTAATCGAGTATTTTATTTTCAGTTTGAATAATCCAAAGAAGAATTTGTAAATTTGAAGAAGCAGAACAATTCCACCGCTAGTTCTACATATCACTTTTACAAATCAAGAATGTGATTTCACTTAAGCAGGCTTGTTCCATAAAGGATTTGAAATAATTTTGATGGTTTGAATGTGAAGTTTGTATGCAACGCACTTATAGTATGATTCGAATACCAAATACAAAGTTTACATTTTCAGCTTGACAAACTAAAATGCCAAATGTTTGGAAGTTTGATTTACCATTAATTTCAACCAACTCATCTCCTTGATGTATACCAGCACGAGCAGCTGGGCCACCCTCTACACAAGACAAAACAACCTGCGTTGTTGTATAAAAATCATGTACCAGATGAACAGCTTAATAAATATTGTAAAGTCAATACATTGAGAATGAACAGCTACTAAGCTTCAAACAACAACAACAACAAAGCCTTTTCCCACTAAGTGGGGTCGGCTATATGAATCCTAGAACGCCATTGCGCTCGGTTTTGTGTCATGTCCTCCGTTAGATCCAAGTACTCTAAGTCTTTTCTTAGAGTCTCTTCCAAAGTTTTCCTAGGTCTTCCTCTACCCCTTCGGCCCTGAACCTCTGTCCCGTAGTCACATCTTCGAACCGGAGCGTCATTCGGCCTTCTTTACACATGTCCAAATCACCGGAGCCGATTTTCTCTCATCTTTCCTACAATTTCGGCTACTCCTACTTTACCTCGGATATCCTCATTCCCAATCTTATCCTTTCTCGTGTGCCCACACATCCCACGAAGCATCCTCATCTCCGCTACACCCATTTTGTGTACGTGCTGATGCTTCACCGCCCAACATTCTGTGCCATACAACATCGCTGGCCTTATTGCCGTCCTATAAAATTTTCCCTTGAGCTTCAGTGGCCTACGACGGTCACACAACACGCCGGATGCATTCTTACACTTCATCCATCCCGCTCGTATTCTATGGTTGAGATCTCCATCTAATTCTCCGTTCTCTTGCAAGATAGATCCTAGGTAGCGAAAACGGTCGCTTTTTTGTGATCTTCGCTAGATTGCTCCGGTCATTAGTGTGGATAAGTATATAAATGGATAGAGATAGGAAAGCAAACACAAGATGTACGTGGTTCACCCAGATTGGCTACGTCCACGGAATAGAAGAGGTCTCATTAATTGTGAAGGGTTTACACAAGTACATAGGTTCAAGCTCTCCTTTAGTGAGTACAAGTGAATGATTTAGTACAAATGACATTAGGAAATATTGTGGGAGAATGATCTCGTAATCACGAAACTTCTAAGTATCAGAGTGTGGTGTGTCGTCTTGACTTGCCTTATCTGTCTCATAGGTAGATGTGGCATCTTCTCTGGAAGTACTCTTCCTCCATCCAGGGGTGGTATCTTTAACTGGTGGAGATGCACAAGGTAATGTATCAATTTCACTTGAAGCTTACTTGTAGTTTCAGGCTTGGTCAAGCGCGATACAAACCATGTAGTAGGAGTCCCCCAAGTCGCCGAGCTAGGGGGTCTGCTGAAAGAGGTGACAGACAAGGTAAGCAATCAGAGTTTCGACTGATTGTTCACCTTCTCCCCATCTTGTAGCAGCATGAAGGATAAAGAGAAGAAAAATGAGAAGAGATGATATGAAATACTTTTGCTTTTGAAGAAGTAACTTTCCACAGGCTTATTCTTGAACTGAGCTGGAGGGTTTTCTGGTTTCCTCCAGAGTATAAGGCCGACTGAAGAATTTGAGGGTCAAAACAAGTCCATCAAATCTAGAGTACGTTCCACCCTGCTGATATGGGATACGTTTGCTTTTGACAGAGTAATGGATGTATCGGCACGTGTGCTGTTACGCTTGTCTCCACATGCTTCCTTGTATCCTTCGCACTTGCCCTATCTGTTCCTCAAGCAGATGCGGAATCTTCCCTGGAAACATAAGGTGTTGAAGATGAGTACTCGAGAGCAATGCCAGGTAAGTAATCAGGTAAGGGGTTCCAGGCAGTCAGTTCCTGGCTGGAAGCTTGATTCCAAGTGCTGACTGATTGCTCTCTTTCTCCTTGTCTTGCAGGTAAAAACAAGGCCAAAGGAAAAGACAGGGAAAAAGCATGATATGGGATACTCTTGCTTTTAACCCTGATGATATGAGATATTCTTGCTCTAGTATAGCTTGTTTGCAGAGGTATTATCGGGGGGAAAGAAAGCTGAATATTTCGAAAGGCTTCGTTGGGAGTGCCCTCTCAGATATGATGAAGGGTTGAGCATTTTTGCAGGTCTGCCTGTCTGTTGGGGATGGAGGTCGACATATATAGGAGTCTCCCTAACAAGTAGTAATGCTATTCCTTTACCCTGCTTGGTCATAGCACGGTAGTGGGAGCTGCCAGTTTCACATGTTTTAACTCTGTCAGAGCACTTTGAAAAAGTGGTCTGTGGTATCTGGCTCTCGAGATTCGGAGAACGATGCCTCTTCGATTTTTGAGAAAGCAATCATGCTGGGGGTCTGGCTCTCGAGATTCGGAGAGCAGTGTCTCTTCGATTTTTGAGAAAGTAATCATGTTGGGAGTCTGGCTCTCGAGATTCGGAGGGCGGTGCCTCTTTGATTTTGGAGCAAGCAATCTTGTTGGGAGTGTTGTCTCGAATGTGAGTAAAGGTTGGGCATGTTTGCTAGTCTACCTTGCCACGAAGCACAAAGGTTGACACACAGGGACTTTCCAATTATCCAGCAATGGTACTGTTCCTTTACCCTCTCTTCGATTTTGAGAAAGTAGTCATGTTGGGAGTCTGGCTCTCGAGATTCGGAGGACGGTATCTCTTCGATTTTGAAGCAAGCAATCTTGTTGGGAGTGTTTTCTCGAATGTGAGTAAAGGTTGGGCATGTTTGCTAGTCTACCTTGCCACGAAGCACAGAGGTTGACAAACAGGGACTTTCCAATTATCCAACAGTGGTACTGTTCCTTTACCCTTATGGGTAATAATATGGTAGCTAGACCTTCAAAATTTATGTGTCTAAACTTTGTTAGTGCTGTTTCTTTGCTATTCTTTTACCTTTCTTGGTCAGAGCGATGTAGTGGGAGCTGCAAGCTTCACGTGCTCAACTTTGGCAGAGAACTTTGGCAAAGTTATCTGTGGTACCCATGAGCTATTGTTGCGTGTGGGAAGTGGGTGATTGAACAGTAAGATTCATGTGCTTTCTACTTCACCAGAAGTCTTCGACAGAATGCCCATAATTTCTGCAAAGCTGAGTGTGCGTGTGACAGGTGCTGACAAGGCTAGAAAAGTAGGTGCCTCTTCGATTTCTGAGATCGGCCCTCGTGGTCTCTAAGCAGCCCAGCTTTTGAGAAAGCGAGCGCCTCTTCGATTGATTCGGAGAACGATGCCTCATCGATTTTTGAGAAAGCAATCATGCTGGGGGTCTGGCTCTCGAAGATTCGGGGAGCAGTGTCTTTTCGATTTTTGAGAAAGTAATCATGTTGGGAGTCTAGCTCTCGAGATTCGGAGGGCGGTGCCTCTTCGATTTTGGAGCAAGCAATCTTGTTGGGAGTGTTTTCTCTAATGTGAGTAAAGGTTGGGCATGTTTGCTAGTCTACCTTGCCACGAAGCACAGAGGTTGACACACAGGGACTTTCCAATTATCCAGCAATGGTACTGTTCCTTTACCCTCTCTTCGATTTTTAAGAAAGTAGTCATGTTGGGAGTCTGGCTCTCGAGATTCGGAGGACGGTGCCTCTTCAATTTTGGAGCAAGCAATCTTATTGGGAGTGTTTTCTCGAATGTGAGTAAAGGTTGGGCATGTTTGCTAGTCTACCTTGCCACGAAGCACAGAGGTTGACACACAGGGACTTTCCAATTATCCAGCAGTGGTATTGTTCCTTTACCCTTGTGGGTAATATGGTAGCTAGACCTTCAAAATTTATGGGTCTAAACTTTGTTAGTGCTGTTTCTTTGCTATTCTTTTACCCTTCTTGGTCAGAGCGATGTAGTGGGAGCTGCAAGCTTCACGTGCTCAACTTTGGCAGAGAACTTTGGCAAAGTTATCTGTGGTACCCATGAGCTATTGTTGCGTGTGGGAAGTGGGTGATTGAACAGTAAGATTCATGTGTTTTCTACTTCCCCAGAAGTCTTCGACAGAATGCCCATAATTTCCGCAAAGCTGAGTGTGCGTGTGACAGGTGCTGACAAGGCTGGAAAAGTAGGTGCCTCTTCGATTTCTGAGATCGGCCCTCGTGGTCTCTGGGGAGCCCAGCTTTTGAGAAAGCGAGCGCCTCTTCGATTTCTGAGATCAGCCTTCGAGGTCTTTGAGCAGCCCAACTTTTGAGAAAGCAAACGCCTCTTCGATTTCTGAGCAGGCGCCTCTTCGATTTCTGAAGCTCCGTCGAGTGCAGATTTTTATAGGGGCTGGCATTAAGTTCCAAAGCACACTTGAATCAATCTCCACCAGTAGAAGCTTCATTTGCACTTCTAAGATCTTGATTTGTCCGACCTCTTCTCTCTTCAACACCTTTGAAAATGTCTGGCCCCTCCGACCGTCGTTTTGACTTGAACCTTGTTGAAGAGGCAGCCCCGCCTTCTCCAGACAACATATGGCGCCCATCCTTCGTCTCCCCTACTGGTCCTCTTACCGTTGGGGATTCCGTGATGAAGAATGATATGACCGCTGCGGTGGTGGCCAGGAACCTTCTCACTCCCAAAGATAACAGACTACTTTCCAAACGGTCTGATGAGTTAGCTGTTAAGGATTCGCTGGCTCTCAGTGTTCAGTGTGCAGGTTCTGTGTCTAATATGGCCCAACGCCTATTTGCTCGAACCCGCCAAGTTGAATCATTGGCGGCTGAAGTGATGAGTCTCAAACAGGAGATTAGAGGGCTCAAGCATGAGAATAAACAGTTGCACCGGCTCGCACATGACTATGCTACAAACATGAAGAGGAAGCTTGACCAGATGAAGGAAACTGATGGTCAGGTTTTACTTGATCATCAGAGATTTGTGGGTTTGTTCCAAAGGCATTTATTGCCTTCGTCTTCTGGGGCTGTACCGCGTAATGAAGCTCCAAATGATCAACCTCTGATGCCTCCTCCTTCTAGGGTTCTGTCCAGTACTGAGGCTCCAAATGATCCCCCTCCGGTGCCTTCTCTTTCTGGGGCTCTACCGACTGCTGAGACTTCTCCTAAGCAACCTTTGTGAAGGCTCCCTCTTGTGTGTTTATTTTGACTCATGTATATGCACATATTTGTAGCTTATCGGGGATATCAATAAATAAGCTTTCCTTCATTTCAACGTATTGTGTTAGATACACCAAAGCCTTCTTCGCTAAGTTCTTTGAATTTTCTTTTGTTGAAGCTTGTATGTTGAAGCTTCTTGAGTGGAGCATGTAGGTTGGGGTAGTGTTCCCTTAATTTTCCGAGTGAGGAAAACTTCTCGGTTGGAGACTTGGAAAATCCAAGTCACTGAGTGGGATCGGCTATATGAATCTTAGAACGCCATTGTGCTCGATCCTGTGTCATGTCCTTCGTTAGATCCAAGTACTCTAAGTCTTTTCTTAGAGTCTCTTCCAAAGTTTTCCTAGGTCTTCCTCTACCCCTTCGGCCCTGAACCTCTGTCCCATAGTCGCATCTTCTAATCGGAGTGTCAGTAGGCCTTCTTTGCACATGTCCAAACCACCGTAACCGATTTTCTCTCATCTTTCCTTCAATTTCGGCTACTCCTACTTTACCCCGGATATCCTCATTCCTAATCTTATCCTTTCTCGTCGTGTGCCCACACATCCAACGAAGCATCCTCATCTCCGCTACACCCATTTTGTGTACGTGTTGATGTTTCACCGCCCAACATTCTGTGCCATACAGCATCGCCGGCCTTATTGCCGTCCTATAAAATTTTCCCTTGAGCTTCAGTGGCATACGGCGGTCACATAACACGCCGGATGCACTCTTCCACTTCATCCATCCAGCTTGTATTCTATGGTTGAGATCTCCATCTAATTCTCCGTTCTTTTGCAAGATAGATCCTAGGTAACGAAAACGGTCGCTCTTTGGTATTTCTTGATCTCCGATCCTCACCCCTAACTCGTTTTGGCCTCCATTTGCACTGAACTTGCACTCCATATATTCTGTCTTTGATCGGCTTAGGCGAAGACCTTTAGATTCCAACACTTCTCTCCAAAGGTTAAGCTTTGCATTTACCCCTTCCTGAGTTTCATCTATCAACACTATATCGTCTGCGAAAAGCATACACCAAGGAATATCATCTTGAATATGTCCTGTTAACTCATCCATTACCAACGCAAAAAAGATAAGGACTTAAGGATGAGCCTTGATGTAATCCTACAGTTATGGGAAAGCTTTCGGTTTGTCCTTCATGAGTTCTTACGGCAGTCTTTGCTCCTTCATACATATCCTTTATAGCTTGGATATATGCTACTCGTACTCCTTTCTTCTCTAAAATCCTCCAAAGAATGTCTCTTGGGACCCTATCATACGCTTTTTCCAAATCTATAAAGACCATGTGTAAATCCTTTTTCCCATCTCTATATCTTTCCATCAATCTTCGTAAGAGATAGATTGCCTCCATGGTTGAACGCCCTGGCATGAACCCGAATTGGTTGTCCGAAACCCGTGTCTCTTGCCTCAATCTATGCTCAATGACTTTCTCCCAGAGCTTCATTGTATGACTCATTAGCTTAATACCCCTATAGTTCATGCAATTTTGTACGTCGCCCTTATTCTTGTAGATAGGCACCAAAGTGCTCGTTCGCCACTCATTTGGCATCTTCTTCGTTTTCAAAATCCTATTGAAAAGGTCAGTGAGCCATGTTATACCTGTCTCTCCCAAAAGTTTCCACACTTCGATTGGTATATCGTCTGGGCCTATTGCGTTTTTATGCTTCATCTTCTTCAAAGCTACAACCACTTCTTCCTTCCGGATTCGACGATAAAAAGAGTAGTTTCTACACTCTTCTGAGTTACTCAACTCCCCTAAAGAAGCACTCATTTCATGTCCTTCATTGAAGAGATTATGAAAATAACCTCTCCATCTGTCTTTAACCGCGTTCTCTGTAGCAAGAACCTTTCCATCCTCATCCTTGATGCACCTCACTTGGTTTAGGTCCCTTGTCTTCTTTTCCCTTGCTCTAGATAGTTTATAGATATCCAACTCTCCTTCTTTGGTATCTAGTCGTTTATACATATCGTCGTAAGCCGCTAACTTAGCTTCTCTGACAGCTTTCTTCGCCTCTTGCTTTGCTTTTCTATACCTTTCACCATTTTCATCGGTCCTCTCCTTGTATAAGGCTTTACAACATTCCTTCTTAGCCTTCACCTTTGTTTGTACCCCCTCATTCCACCACCAAGATTCCTTTTGGTGTGGGGCAAAGCCCTTGGACTCTCCTAATACCTCTTTTGCTACTTTTCGGATACAACTAGCCATGGAATCCCACATTTGGCTAGCTTCCCCCTCTCTATCCCACACACATTGGGTGATTACCTTCTCTTTGAAAATGGCTTGTTTTTCTTCTTTTAGATTCCACCATCTAGTCCTTGGGCACTTCCAAGTCTTGTTCTTTTGTCTTACTCTTTTGATATGTACATCCATCACCAACAAGCGATGTTGATTAGCCACGCTCTCTCCTGGTATAACTTTGCAATCCTTACAAGTTATACGATCCCCTTTCCTCATTAGAAGAAAATCTATTTTGTGTTTTTGACGACCCACTCTTGTAGGTGATCACATGTTCTTCTCTCTTCTTAAAGAAGGTGTTGGCTAAGAAGAGATCATATGCCATTGCAAAATCCAAGATAGCTTCCCCATCCTCGTTTCTCTCCCCAAAACCATGGCCACCATGAAAACCTCCATAGTTGCCTGTCTCCCTGCCCACGTGTCCATTTAAATCTCCTCCTATAAATAACTTCTCCGTCTGAGCAATTCCTTGCACCAAGTCTCCAAGATCTTCCCAAAATTTCTCCTTCGAACTCGTATCCAACCCTACTTGAGGTGCGTACGCACTAATCACATTGATAAGTTCTTGTCCTATTACAATCTTGATTGCCATGATTCTATCTCCTACCCTCTTGACATCTACAACATCTTGTACCAAGGTCTTGTCCACGATGATGCCAACACCGTTTCTCGTTCTATTTGTGCCCGAATACCAAAGTTTAAACCCTGAGTTTTCTAGATCCTTTGCCTTACTACCAACCCACTTAGTTTCTTGTAGGCACATAATATTTATCCTTCTCCTCACCATAACTTCCACTACTTCCATAGATTTTCCCGTTAAGGTTCCTATATTCCACGTTCCTAAACGCATTTTGCTCTCTTGAACTCTACCCTTCTGTCCTAGCTTCTTCACCCTCCCCCGTCTAATAGGATCAAAGTACTTCTTTTGTGTGTGTCCCGGGTAAAGTTGATAGGAGCATATGCTCCCAAACAACTTTGAGTGGAGTCGTTCGAAAAGAAGTTTCTATGGCTCCCTTGCTCATTTAACACTGCATCCGGGTGCCGATGGAGATACAGCGACCCTTGCTCACTTATCACTGTGCTTGGGCCACACAGCGCGCCACTTACGGGTGACGCCCTAGCTTTAGCGCGATTTTGTTCTGGATTCATTTTCATAAGGATTCGACGTGATCATGGAGTGCCGGCTGTCGACTACCTGACGCCCTCCCCCTCCTCCTTTATCCGGGCTTGGGACCGGCCATGTAAGACATAGGCGGAGTTGAACAGCTACTAAGCTTCAATAGAATAAAAAGTCGTACCCAGTGCACAAGGCTCCCGCTTTACGCAGGGTCTGGGAGAGGTGAATGTCGGCTAGCCTTACCCCCATTTATGGAGAGGCTGCTCCCAAGTCTCGAACCCGAGACCTACCGCTCATGGGCGAAGGCACTTGCCATCGCACCAAGTGCGACCTCTACTAAGCTTCAATAGAATACACGAAAAAAATTTGAAATAAGTTTTTGTAGGTTTTGTAGAACTCGTAAACATCATTGGTTTGTTAACTTTCTTATCCTTTGAATAAACCATGTATCCTAGGAACAGCATATATCACTTTTTCATTTGTTTACTTGATATAAATATTTGAAACAAGGATCTTTTTGCATATTACTAACCAAATGGCCTGTTCTGGGTTCCCTATTTATGAAAAGGCCAACTCCTTGTAGATTTCCATTGCTTCCAATCCGAAAACTTTGATATTCCTGTGAGCAAAAAAGCATAATTAGCTTGCTAGCAATTTCCAGGTTAACAAAAGTGACTGAAATAGCAGAAATATGGAATTCATCCACGTAAAAATCAGACCTTGGGACTGATGATCCGTGTAAAGGGATCACCAAGAGTAGATAGCATTCCACTGATTTTCATATATGCTGCATCAGCAGACCTAAGGGGAAACATTTCCGTCATTGTTTGCTGCAACTTTTGATCCCAATCTGCAGGAAAAGATTCATGTCTTTAACGCTAGAAAACCCCAAAATGGGAGGAAAAAAGTCGGAAGTTTCCAAATACTTAAGCAGTTTCATTTCATGAAAATAACCAAAAGTACACAACAATTAGACCCTGAACATTAGAATCATGGAGTCTGAATAATCTTCAAATGAAACTGTTGGTGTGCATGTGTATTGATCCTCAGTTAGATAAAAGCAGGATAAAGCAATACCTTGATGATTAAATGTCGGGTCTACGAATGTTTCCCTAATCAAACCCCAAGTCTCCACAAGAGTTGTTTGAACCGAATTCACCTGGAAACAATAAATCTTATCTACTTAGTCATTGGCATCATAATTTCTATCCAAGTACAGTCAAATTGTAACTTTAAAATAACCAACTGAGCAATAACTGTATTATGTTCCGTGGCAAAAAGTAGTAACACAGTAACAAAATTGATGAATGAAAGGAATCTAACCAACATAGGAAAACCGCAGCTATCAATCAAGTAAACACCAATTAATGTCAAACACTTTGTGAAGATTTCAGAGAGACAGGTTAGAAGCCCACTACTAACCACACAGATATTATCCCCCAATGGGAGTCTTACTACCTGGAAAGTGTGAGCTTTTTATCACAAAAGGTCTTGTTGTCATTAAGATTGAAACATTCAGTATGTATGAAAATTAACTTGTCAATTCTCAGATGTCAGATTCTTGTATTCTTCAACAAAATGCGTAATTGGTATTGAACAAAGAAATAATTTTTTTTTTCTTCTCCATTTTTCTTAATCTGTATAGCTTAATTCGTGAATTTGGTTTTCAGTTTTCTTACTCTTCAGTCTTTAGTTAAACATGCATATCATCTAAATTATCTATACATACATAATTAAACTCATAATTTGATTAGTACTGGTCACAAATAACAGACCCCATCAACACTCAATCAAATGGAAACAAAATCAATCACCTCAGTAGTGCGTGACGCCGGAAAAGCCACCGTCAGAGACTCCGCCATCGCCGGATAGTTACAACAAACAACAGCATAATTTGCAGCAACGGCAGCGGCAAATGAAAGCAACCCCTTTCCAATTGTCCTCACCAACTCCTGACTCGAAAACTTGG